ACAGGGAGCTTGTAGTAGAGCCAAGAACTGACCATAGATCTCTAAGCCCTGGTCTACACTAGGACCTTAGTCCGAAATACCACCTCCCTCCCAAGTTTGAATTTGTAAGCAATGCATCCACATTATTCAGCCCATTATTTTGGAATAGTGGACTACAGAAATTCGAACTCTAGACTCCTGCTTTTCATTAGGAATAACACTAATGCCGAACTTGTAAGTCCAAAATAATATTAGTGTGGATGCTCTGGTATTGCTAATTCGAATTATTGGCCTCCGGGAGGCCTTCCAGCATGCTTCCTGGGACACTAAGTCTGAGGTCGCACGTCCACATTAACAGAGTCTGCCTCGGACTAATTTCAATTCTTCCCTGTAGTGAGGACATGGAACTTCAAATTTGTTAAATTGGGAGTTCATAAGTCGAATTTAGTAAATTTGAAATAATTTCCTAGTGTAGACATGGCCATAGGGCCCAGGCTAGCATCTTAACTTCTAGCTTTCACTCCCCCTTCACTTTGTTCCGTTTCTAAAGAGAGGCTAAGACCACATTGGAATCCGGAACTGAGGCCCCCTCAAAGTTGTGTTATGTGGCTAAATGAGGAATGCAACGTGCAGGCATAGGATAGAATACAGACCTTTCATTCGGTAACGCCCTGATCTCTGGGCACTGTCTCTCTTTGGCAGCATCAAGAGCAAGGCTCAATTTTCCTCTCTCCTGGGAGCACTTGTGAGCATGCTAGTAGGCCACACGATGTTCCAACCCATCAGCGTCTCTCACAGACGCTGGTTGGCACTTGGATTAGGAACCGTGAGGAGTTTCCAAGCTTCACAACTGGGCTATGCACATCTGCTGCAGGCTGGGCTCTGAAACCTCTTTGGAAATATACAAACCTAAACATCTTGGCTTCCACTGGGCTGACCCTGTACCAAGGTGAAAAACACCCTAATCACTCAAATCAGGTTAGTATGGCCATTTAGCCCATTAACGACTTCCCCAGCTCAGAAGAAAACTGGGTGTCAATGATATTGCTTCTGCTGTCGACAGCTGGTCCCTAGAGAGGTGAGAATACAGAGTAGATAATGTATTTATTTTAAGAGAAGAGCAGGAGAAGCCAGAGGCCAGGACAAAAATGTATGTCTCTGTTTCAATCTCCTTAATCTACTATAAAGAAAACAAGTCTCAGACCAAGGGGGCAGGGGGAATAGACCAATCTCTAGGCTCCTCCACTTCTGCTTAATTGATTAATTCCTTCAAAGTGGAGCTATCGGTTTAATGTGCCTTTCCATAAAAGCAGTTCAGAAAGTTCATGGGAGTTAATCCGTGACGATAGCTGGAGCTGCAAAACCAGCCATCTGATTAAAGGCACGGCCATCACTTACCGCTCAGCCACTTTCAAAGTTGTTGTGAAAGTCTTTGTTAACCTTCACATTTCAAAGTTGGTTTCTTGGCCCAGGGGAATTGGAAAGCGCTTTTTATTAGAATCAAAAGGAGTATGAAAGAAAATCGGGGGAATCTAAGGAAAATTATAGGCACTGCACAAAATCACACAAGCATCCTTGTTTCCCACCCCCTTCTTTTTTTCGTTCCCCCTCTCTCTTCTCCTCTATTTATTTTGGGTCTGCACATCCTAAACTCAAAACTCCAGTCATCTGAAGAAGTGGGCTGTGCCCACAAAGCTCATGATATCATCGACATGTTTTGTCAGTCTATCAAGTGCTACCAGACTATTTGTTGTTTTTTAAGTTTATACCTGGAGTTTGCTTTGAATTCAGCCGCTGTTGTAACAGCACTTGTGCAAAGCCCTAGTGCACACAGCCAAAGTGAGTATTCACACCAGTGCAGGTTACCTGCTTGTAGCCAGCCTTGCCTGAACCAATCAAATACCAGTTTGTTGCAAATGACCCTGTCTGTACCAGGACTTGGCACTTGTTTTACGGGAAAGGTGTTGCCTACTGGGTCTCTGAGACCACTTCCTCCACCAGTGCAGACCCACTGCACTGGGGCCCTGGATTTCAGATCAGATGTGAAACCCAGCCCTGGGCACTCTGAACTAGTAAAGATTCCTTGGTGTGTTTCACAAAAGCAGGCCTGTTAGCCACAGCCTCCCTGGTAATTCCTTTCTGGGTCCCTGGCAGCTATATTCCCCTTGAATTCTAGAATCCTCCTTCACTTCCCATCCTCCACAAGGTGTGACTGTGCACCTTTAAGCAACTACTGTTTGCCACAGCAGAAGTGGCTGCCTTGCAGCAGTGCTGACTGTAGATACATTTTAAAAGGAAATCCTTCAGACATTACACAAATTTAAGATCCCAAGATCTATTTGTGTCAGCAGCAGAAGCTTCAAACTTCCAGATGAGTCCCTGGGACTTTTATTCATCTACATCGCACTGGTTACCATAAGGTACAGGGAGCTCAATACATTTTGTGTGACCCCTTGGAGGGTGGACCACGAAAGGATAACAACCTTCTACTGCTGCCAGCTGATAGGATTATTCCTTTCGCTCAGGTGGCACAAGGTGGTGCTAAAAGTCTTAAGTTCAAACCAAAAGCAGCGAGGAGTCCTGTGGCACCGTATAAACTAACTGAAGTGTAGGAACATAAGCTTTCGTGGGCAAAGACCCACTTCGTCAGATGCAAGTTCAAACCAATATATTACACTTATTTTGCCAGTCTGGCAACACCTGCAGCCAGCTTAATGCTAGCTCAAGGTAGAACAGCAAACTGCAATAACGATGCGTGTCACATCCCTTATACTTGTTAGGAAAAAAACAGGTGAAACAGAGGCAGATGGGGTAGAATAACTCCTTTATTCTGCCTTGAACCCCCAAAACCCTGGTCCGCGTGAGCAACAAATGAACCCTTGGCATAAACCCCTGGTATATTCTTTTATCTAAGTTAGTATGTGAATACACATATCTATTACAACTCCCCTTAAACCCTTATTTAGTAATGTGAACATCCATGTCGTGAATAGCAATAACCAGATGATGAATATAATTATACCCGCCCCTGTATACAGCACTTTTAGTTGAAACAAGCAGTTTCATATTACACCCTTCTTGAATCAGCACCTTAAAAGGGAGAAAGAAGGAGCTATGACCCAGAATATGTTTCAGAGTGGGTGGGGAGGAGGAAGGGGAGGAATATAACATAGAGTTATAGACAAAGCGTATTCATTAGAAGTTACATCCTTCATGGAATCACAGAATACTAGGACTGGAAGGAACCTCGACAGATCATCAAGTCCAGTCCCCTGCCCTCAGGGCAGGACCAAGCACCATCTAGATCATCCCTGACAGGTGTCTGTCTAACCTGTTCTTAAATATCTCCACTGATGGAGATTCCACAACCTCCCTAGCTAATTTATTCCAGTGTTTAACCACCCTGACAGTTAGGGACTTTTTCCTAATGTGCAACCTAAACCTCCCTTGCTGCAGTTTAAGCCCATTGCTTCTTGTCCTGTCATCAGAGGCCAAGGAGAACAAATTTTCTCCCTCCTCCTTGTGACACCCTTTTAGTTACTTGAAAACAGCTATCATGTCCCCCCTCAGTCTTCTCCTTTCCAAACTAAACAAGCCCAATTCCTTCAGCCTTCCCTCATAGCTCATGTTCTCTAGACCTTTAAATCATTTTTGATGATCTTCTCTAGACCGTCTCCAAATCTGTCTTGAAATGTGGCGCCCAGAACTAGACACGTCAGTTGAGGCCAATTGAAGGCTCTGGGTACAGCTACATGCTTGTCTATCCCAAGCAAGCAGGAAATAAGGGGAAAGGGGTATTAAAGCATGTCTATAAATCAATAGGGAGAGTGCCTGCCTGTGCTGTACCCCGTTAGCATGGTAGTGATTTCCCAGCCCCCTTATTTAATTCTTACACACCCCAACAATACTCTCCCCTCTTTCCCGTCCCTCCCCCATTTTGGCCCATGTGATAGCGGTAGCAGAGCAAAAATGGGCCAGCCAGAATTTCAGCACCCAGGGGTTATTCTACTGGGACAGATGGTTCAAAGAACGCCCACTGCTTTGTGGCTGCATCAAACATAAGCTGGGTCCCTTTCAGCACCATGGACAGAGCCGGCAGGGGACAGGTATGGCAGGCTGACTCCTTTGTCCTGAGTGCCTTCAAGCCCCACCAAGAGGACCAGAGAGATGGAGCCATCCTGTAGCTTTTTATAGTTGCAGCCCTTCCAGCGAGATCATTGTGCTGCACAGTGCTTTTCTAGCCAAGTACGGGTCAGGGTTAGCCCAGGAGAGCTCTGCCCAGGGCGCATTAGCTCCAAAACAATCGGCCTCTAGGGCCTGCCTCAGGCTAGCAAGCTACACTGGGCTAGGTAAGGCTATAGGATGCAGGCTGGTATAGTAGCTTGCACATAGCAGTCTCAAGAGCCAGGTTCTGGTCTTAGCTCTTCCCTTCCCTTTTGGTAGGACCTTGGGTGAAGCGCTTGGCAGCTCCATGCCTCTGTTCCACACCTGCTCCGATCCGGAGCAGCCTTAGTGAAGTGCTGTGAGATTCCTGGATGAAACCGGCTGGTGATGTGTGTGTGTGTGTGTGTGTGTGTGATATTCCACCCCTCATGTCCTTTGGGCCGTGTCCAGACTCAGGGGTTTTTTCAGGAAAAGTAGCCTTTTCCCGAAAAAACTTCCCCTGCGTCCAGACTCAAGCCGCGTTCTTTCGAAATTATTTCAAAAGAACGCGGCTTTTCTTTCGATAGCGGTAAACCTCATTTCACGAGGAAGAACGCCTTCTTTCGAAAGTTCCTCTTTCGAAAGAAGGCGTTCTTCAATGTAAAGAGGCCGTCTTCGAAAGAGAGCATCCAGACTCGCTGGGTGCTCTCTTTCGAAAAAGCGGATTTTTCTTTCGAAAGATCCGCCTGCAGTCTAGACGCGATCTTTCGAAAGAGGCTCTTTCGAAAGATGCTTTCGAAAGAGCCTCTTTCGAAAGAAGCCTGCAGTCTAGACATAGCCTTGGTGAGCAGAGAAGCAGCAAAAAGCAATATCCCAAATACTCTTTTTATTCCCCATTCTGTGCTGTGTCTTTCCTCTGCTTGGCAAGGAAGTGAGACTGGCCATGAACCACAGCGATGACCTGGGAGCAGCGTCTTGATCTCGCTGTGAGCCAGTCAGTGCTGGTGACAACAGGGCCCTCTAGTGGTTGAGCATGGGCTTGGGAATCCAGAGAGCTGGCTTCCATTGCTTGCTCTGCCACCGATCCTGTGTGTGGCCTGGGTCAAGCCACTTTCTCTCAATGCCTCAGATCTCCATGTCTACAATGGGGAGAATGATACTTCTTCTCTGCTGCCCTTTGGCTGTCTTGGGTTCAGACCCCTCTAGAGCACCGACTGCCCCTCTGTGGAGGTCGGTACGCAGCACAAGGACTCAACAAGGGCCTTCAGCGCTGCTGGGACACAGTGAAACCACCACCATAGTGCTGTAGCAGAGGGGAGTGGACAAAGGATACATCAAAGTCCAACAGGAAGCAACCCTGTGTGGACCAGATGGCCTATTTGGCCTCTCACCGCTAGGTGGGGGTGAGGTGTAACGGGATAAGTTGTTGAGGGAGGTAGACTAAGGAAGTGACATTACTCTCGTGCTACAGAGGTATCCCGCCTCAGAGCCATGACCCTTAGCTGGAGAGCACCTACTGATGGCCCCTCCCTCACCGTCCCCTCCCCGCCCCTTCGGTTCTAAAGTACCAATCCTGAATGGTGTCTCCTTGGTTGAGAGAGCACCCGGTACCATCTAATTCAGGGGCAGGCAAACTTTTTGGCCTGTGGGCCATATCTGGGTAGGGAAATTGCATGATGGGCCATGAATGTGGGGCTGGGACAGAGGTAATATGTTGAGGGGTTGCGGGAAGGGACTCAGGGCTGGGGTGCAGAAGAGGTGCACGGGAGGAGGCAGGGGAAGGGGTTGGGGAGCAGAAGGTACATGGGATGCATGATGGGGGCCTGGACAAGGGGTTGGTGGGTAGGAGGGGGTGTGGGATGCACAAGGGGGGTCTGGACAAGGATCTGGGGTGCACGAGAGGGATCTGGACAAGGGGTTGGGATGTACGAGGGGGCGTGGACTGAAGGAGAGGTGTAAGGGCTGGTGTCTGGAGTGCAGGAGGGGTTCAGGGTCTGGGCTGCAGCTGGGTGCTACTTACCTGGAGTGGCTCCAAGTTGGTGGCCCAGCAGGACGAAGGCTGCCTCCCTCCATGCTCTGGCCCCACACTGCTCCAGAAGGGGCCAGCACATCCAGCAGTGGCTCCTGTATGTTGCAAGAGCAGATGGTCCCACATGCTGCCTTCACCTGCAGGCACATCTCCCCTAGCTTTCATTGGCTGTGGTTCCCTGATCCCAGCCAATGGGAGCTAGGGGATGGTGCCTGTCACATGTGCTACTTACCAGCTGCCCTCTGCTATGCCATGCCTTGGCAGGGGCTAAGAAGGCCAGCAGGTTAGTTTTACCTTAGATCTGGATTCTGCTTTATCCAAGGCAACAGAGTTCATGGTGTTTGGAAAGAGCTTTTGTTTCACCTGGATGGATGCAGGCTTCAGGGTACGTACGGGACCTATTGTCCCGGGAGACCACTGAGGTCATAGAACCATAGAACACTAGGACTGGAAGGGACCTGGAGAGGTCATCAAGTCCAGTCCCCGGCCCTCATGACAGGACCAAGCACCGTCTAGATCATTCCTGGCAGGTGTCTGTCTAACCTGCTCTTAAATATCTCTAGTGATAGAGATGCCACAACCTCCCAAGGCAATTTATTCCAGTTTATTAGGAAGTTTTTCCTAATGTGCAACCTAAACCTTCCTTGCTGCAGTTTAAGCCCATTGCTTCTTGTCCTATCATTAGAGGCCAAGGAGAACAATTTTTCTCCCTCCTCCTTGTGACACCCTTTTAGATACTTGAAAATTGCTATCATGTCCTCTCTTAGTCTTCTCCTTTCCAAACTAAACAAGCCCAGTTCCTTCAGCCTTCCCTCATAGCTCATGTTCTCTAGACCTTTAATCATTCTTGTTGCTCTTCCCTGGATCTTCTCCAATTTCTCCACGTCTTTCTTGAAATGTGGTGCCCAGATCTGCACACAATACTCCAACTGAGGCCTAATCAGCGCAGAGTAGTGAGGAAGAATGACTTCTCGTGTCTTGCTCACAACACTCCGGTTAATGCATCCCAGAATCATGGTTGCTTTTTTGCAACGATATCACACTGCTGACTCATATTTAGCTTGTGGTCCACTATAGCCCCTAGATCCCTTTCTGCCGTACTTCTTCCTAGACAGTCACTTTTCATTCTGTATGTGTGAAATGGATTGTTCCTTTCTAAGTGGAGTATTTTGCATACTGCATTTTTGAAAGGGCTGGATAATCTCATGATCAAGGTAGTGCTGCAAATTCAGATACTACAGATCATCAAACCTCAGGCTTCCGGGCACATATGGGGCAGGGGAAAAGGGGGGTGGAGAGGACGGGGGGGAGGAAGGAGAGGCAACAGGGGGGTTTTCTCTCAGAATGACACCTCACACTATTTTCCAGGTGCATAATGAGCTGATTTGGGCTCTTCTGTGAATGATCACCTATAAGCCACTGTTGGGGGCAGAATCTGGCCCATAGAAGGCACCGTCGCCATGGTCTGATGCAGTTCAGCAAAAGATGGGGCGTTAGGCTGGGTGGATGGAAGCAAGAAGGCAAGATTGTGACTACCTGGACTGATGGTCGGATGAGATTTGCACACCCAGGATGTCAAACGCGCTGGATGAATGGTCCAGGACAATGTCACAGATCCTTGGTAAATTCTATTCTGAGTTATTTGGGAGACAAACCCAGAGTAACCCTATTACAGTGCGTGCACTTGTTCCAGATTTACCCCCATGGAATTTTCATGGAATCATGAATCTTACAAGCTCCCAGCTCTTTTCATAAAGAGCAGAAGAGACCATGAGAAACATGAGAGACCACGGAATTTCACTAAGGGTAGGGCTAGACGACACGGTTTTTCCGGGATATCCCGGAAGAACTGTTCCACATCCAGGGAACGTGTTTGCTCTTCTGCTTTTTTTGCAGGAAGCCCCTGTATTCCTCGTTCCACGCGGAATAAGGCGGCTTCCAAAAGAGGGTTTTTTTCTGACATTTGGCCCAGTCTAGATGGGACAAATGTTGGAAAAGACTCTTCCAACAAATGAATTGGAAAAAGCTATGCAAAATACAGAGTGCATTTTGCGTAGCTTTTTCTGAAAAACAGGTGCAGTCTAGCTGTACCCTAACTCACCCCCACATTGAGCCCAACAACTTGTGTTTGACCAAAGCATCAGAAAAGCCGAACCTAAGGCCCAGGGGGCCATATGCAGCTCCCAACTTGCCTGGATCCGGCCCCTGAGGTTTGGGGCTCAGCCCAGCATTGGGGAGCCCCCGCTAGTGAAGGGTGTGATTTTTTTGTTTCTCACTTGTGTGCAGCCCCTGGCTGACTTTTCTGTGGGTCCGTGTCCCCCAGCCCAAAAAAGGTTCCCCATCCCTGGCCTTTAGCCTTGATTTTAAGACAATGAGGGTATGTTCAGACTACATGCCTCTGCCGACAGAGGCATGTAAATTAGACATACCGACATAGTCAAGGAAGCGGAGATTTAAATATCCCTCGCTTCATTAGAATAAAAATGGCCGCTGCGTTGTGCTGGCTCAGCTGATTGTTGGCACAACGCGGCAGTCAAGACATGGATCGGTTGACAGGGAAAGCCGTTGCCAACCGATCTTGTAAACCTCCTTTCACGAGGCATAAGAGATCAGTCAACAACGGCTTTCCCTGTCAACCGATCCATGTCTTGACTGCCGCGTTGTGCCAACAATCAGCTGAGCCAGCACAACGCAGCGGCCATTTTTATTATAATGAAGCGAGGGATATTTAAATCTCCGCTTCCTTGACTATGTCGGTATGTCTAATTTACATGCCTCTGTCGGCAGAGGCATGTAGTCTAGACATACGCTAAGAGATGGCTCATTAGATTTCTGGTGGCTTGGTCAGGTTCCTTGTGGGAACTTTTTACAAGCCCAGAGTCCATGTGTTTTGGGAATAGCTACCCAAGTATGTTCCACTGGGCTCATGAAGGTGGGATGACTGGTACTTGCTTTACCTCTCAGCTCTTTTGCCTTCTCACCCTATGAAGTTTTATGCCAGCTGTGGTCACCTGTTTGATTACAAAGTGTCTGACTTTAACTCCAAATTAATTTTGATGACTTAAATTTCTCCCACCTGGCAGGGAAGGAGGGAACTCTCCAGCTGTGTGACTTCAGAGCACAGGCTTTTTGTAATTTCTGTCTCTTTCCCCCGCACTGACTCTAATTTTGTGGTTCTCTGCACTCCCCGAAAATAACCTTCGGTTCCAATTTCGCTCTGTCATATTCATTATATCACAGCTGCCTGCGGACTATACTTATCACTCGCAATCCACTCAGTTACACTTCTGATTAAAACTGATTGCTAGTTGGAGCCTGGCTGCTCTACCTGGAAATTGGGAACGTCTTTATAACTTTAGACAGCAGATCAAAGGGCCTCTGATTAATATTGCAGGGCCATGGAGATGCTAGGCTGAGTCTCTCAATCCTGAAAAGGTGGAGAGGGTATTTATGTATCTGGGCAGATTAGGGACAGACCAACTGGACAGCTGAAAATTAGCCATGGGCCCAAACTGAAACCCCAGATGCACGTTTGAGAAAGGTGGGAATTGACATCTGAGCTTGGATACTGAGAGCTCAACTTATTCCCTGCCCCAGATTTTGCAAATGGCTTCACAATCTATATATTGGCCTGAATCAAACCTTCCTAGTCCTAGAGTGAAGGTCATGAAGGACCATTAGATTATCTAGTCCAGGGGCAGGCAAGATACAAATCTGCCCCCAAGCCTTTCAGAATGTAGTGGCTTAGACTCATCTTAAAACAAATTAAGAATTGGCTTGAACCAGTGCTGGAACTTCCCCTATGACTATATTTTGAGCTTAGAAAAAAGGAGCACTAACCTACTGCGATTGTATTGTCATGAAATTCCAGGCCCTGGCAAGGGACTGTGGAGGGAAACACCCACACTCCTGAGATCTAGTTCCTGGCTGTGTGTTGGAATTATGAGGAATCTTACGAAACAGCTTGGCATTTTGATTTCCAGCCTGCTTCTGCGAAGTAGGGTTTAGGTATCTTTACGATTTGCTCCGTGTGATTCTCTTTGGTGCTCATTGGGAGCATGGAGCGTTCATCATGTACATCCTCCAGCCCCAGGGAAGAGAGAGAAGTTACCGCACAGAGTAGGAACTGGCTCTTCCTGACATTTATCTTCATCTCCTCCATGCTACACTGGTTTCCGTTCTGACTACCCTTTCTGACAAGCAGATCATCCACAGCACCCAGAAACTGGAGTCAAAGGGTCTTCTCAGGCTTTCTTCAACAAGGCACATACTAAATACATTTAGGTTCAAGGCAGATCCGACCATATCCCTTCAATCCACTAATTCCCTGCTGTTCCCCACAGGGCAGCAGGCATGCAGCGACAGCCCAGCTGTGTGAGATAGGACGAGCTACGTGGCACTTTATCCATCCCTAAGCTGGGCCAGGAAGCTCTGTGAAGTCACAGAGGATACTGGCTTCTTGGAAGAAAATCTATGGTACTTTTGTGGAGAAAAATTGCCTTTGTCTATGGCAGGGCTTCCCAACCTATGTGTTGTGACACAAATATGGGTCGCCATTACATTTCAAAAGGGTCGTCAAGTATCTCCCCAGGTGGCTCTGGCCCCCTTCCTCTTCCCCCCATTTTTGAATTGCCTTGGGTCACCAAGTCTTCCTGAATTGTCAGAATGGGTCCCCATCTGGAAAAGGTTGGGAACCACTGGTCTATGGTTTAAATTCTTGTATTTTATGGTGTGGCCTAGTGGGTAGCAAAGAGGTTTAGGACCCAGGAAGCACAGCTTCTAGTCCTAGCTCTGCCACTAGCCTGTTGAATATCCCTGGTCAAGTCTCTTCCCCTCTCTGTGCCTCTGTTTCCCCATCTGCAAAACAGGGATAATACTGCCAACCACCTTTTTTAAAGTGTCTTGAGATCTACTAATGAAAAGTGTTACATAAGCGTGAGGGATTATTATTACTTTAATGCCTTAATTAACATTATGCTTCTTAGAAATGGGCAACCTTCAGATATCTTCCAGTTTCTAAATCCTGAGCCTTTAACCTTATGGCCAAAGTCTGAGCCCTCCCTGCTGCTGGCATTACTACAGGCTCTTGGACTGGGAAAGAGGTCCATCTGTTCTTCCTGGTCGGCTGCCTGCGATCTGGAACCAGAATTAGTTCTGATCATTGATGCTTGGCTTCCTTCCCTCCCAATGCCCACTCCATGGCTCTCCGGCCAGCATGGGAGAGGGCGCTGCTGCGGGACCAACCGGGCAGCACCCCAGCTGCTCTGCCCCCGGCTTCCCCAAGTCAGCCGCTGCTGAAACTGCTCAGTTTCAGCAGCAGTGGACTTGGAGAAGCCGGGGGCCGAGTCCAGCATCAACTGGAACCCAGAAGTGCTCCAGCCAGCCGGACAATTGGAGCTGCTCTGCCC